GCTTTTGTAAGTGAAATTTATATCATTTTTCAATTGATTTGGTTTTGAATAGTATTTTATAAGCCTAATGATATTTTTATGTGAACTATATAGGCTCCTAAACCCTCATCTGGACCACACAAGTCCAGAGAATGCCTACCACTTATTCTCATTTTGCGTAACAGACTGAAGTATGCTTTGACATACCGTGAAGTCATTGCTATTCTGATGCAAAGGCATGTCCTTGTTGACGGCAAAGTTAGGACTGACAAGACTTATCCTGCTGGATTTATGGGTATGTATGATGCTAGTCATTTTTAAGAATTCCCTGCTCAATATTTTTTTTGCAGTCAACAATGTGTGCTTTGGCTAAAGTTTTTTATATGCTATAATTTATTATTATTGTTTATTTGAGCTTGATGACTTCTGATATAACATAGTTGTGTACTGGAATCTGTATTTGTTTGTAGACAAATCCAGTATTTGGAACTATATTCATAGCTTACTTGTTTAAAATCCTGGTGCAAAAGTGTGAGCTGAAGTTTGTGTAGTTAAATAACTTGCATGATTATCCAAGTGCAAAGGTTTTATATTTCATTTTATGTGGCTGTTGCCGCAATTGATTTTTTCACTTCAATTTGCGTTGACAGATGTTGTGTCCATCCCCAAAACAAATGAAAACTTTCGCCTGCTTTATGACACCAAAGGTAGATTCCGTCTCCATTCTGTCAGAGATGACGAGTCAAAGGTACCTTTATTTGCTTACTGATTATTTTGCATCTGTCTGTCCTCTTTGTTCAATTATCTTTTATTCAATAGCATACTATGTCAGGTGTTGATGATAGTGTTGTTATAATCATGTCTATCCTTGTCCATGTTACTTAATTTTTGTTGGTGTATTAGCCTTACAATTATATGTTTTTTTCTTGTAAATATATATTTTGTTTGCATCATTTTAGTCTTACATCGTTTCCTTGCATGTGATGATGCAGTTCAAGCTCTGCAAGGTCCGTTCAGTGCAGTTTGGGCAGAAAGGTATCCCATACCTCAACACCTATGACGGTCGCACTATTCGCTACCCAGACCCTGTCATCAGGGCAAATGACACCATTAAGCTGGATCTTGAGGAGAACAAGATCGTTGACTTCATCAAATTTGATGTTGGAAATGTAGTCATGGTTACTGGTGGAAGGAATAGGGGGCGTGTTGGAGTCATCAAGAACAGGGAGAAGCATAAGGGAACCTTCGAGACAATCCACGTTCAGGATGCCACTGGACATGAGTTTGCAACCCGTTTGGGAAATGTGTTCACCATAGGTAAAGGTACGAAGCCATGGGTGTCTCTTCCCAAGGGTAAGGGTATCAAGCTTACTGTCATTGAGGAGGCAAGGAAAAGGGCTGCAGCAGCCCAACAAGCAGTTGCTGCTTAAATCTTCTATGATGAATTTATAATAGACTCAAGTGTTTTGTAGTTTTATTCAACTCTTTTGGTTTTAATTGTTGTCAATTTTGTTCTCTTTCAATCAACAATACCTCTTTATTATTTTGAAAAAAATAAAGGGGGTAATGTAGAACATTCTCTGAGCATGTTTTTAAAGAAACATAAGATTATGGCGTATAATACCCTAGGCTCATAAACAAATAAGTGGAAGTGATAAAATTAGATTTTAATTAGTGTATTACTATACATTGCTGTTGCAAAAAAAGCTTTGCAAATGATCCTATATTTCAGTACAAATTATATGCTTCATGCCATATGCTGATCTTTGTCAGACACACCCCTTGGATTTGAAAGCCTAATGCTTCGATTGACTAGTTTGCGGGTCACTACTAATGTATTCACATTTACCTGAGTGGGTCTCACATTTACCTGAGTGAGTCATGCGACTGTTTGAATATAAAGTTATTCCAACCCGTGTTTTCTCCCCTTATTGTATTTCTACTAAACAGAGAATTTGCTTTCAAACTATTTCTACCTTTGTCCCTAGACACAGATTTATTCCTAATAGCTTTATAATTTGGATTACGGTTAAATATGTAGATGAGTTTTGGTTTACCCCTAATAAAAGTTTCTTTTAATCTCCCCTTAAAATGTTAAAATTTTGTGTCTTTTTCCTCCCAGATTCAGTATTCAGATTGTACACTTAAGGGGGTAAAACAAAAAAAAAATTATAGGGAGAAATTAAGGAGAGTGTTGTATATTTAACCCTAATTTTTATTGTGGTTTGTATATGATGTATGGTGGTCACATCCTTATGACCATTTTGACTCAATATATGGTATTTTAATTGAACGACAATCGTTTATGATTTAATAAATCATAATTAATTTATGTATACTTTGTATATAAAGTTTATTAAAAATGGTCAAATTTTTAAGAAACTTACTGCCAAATAGGGCTGGAAATGAGTCGAGTCGAGTCGAACTAACCTCAGCTCGACTCGACTCGTTAAGAATTGTTCGAATTCGAGTTCGAGTTTGACACGAACTTTTTTTTAAGCTCAAACTCGACTCGTTATAAGTTCACGAACAGTTCGGTTCGACTCGTTAGGTTCATCTCATTAGGTTCAGCTCACATGGTTCACGAACTTAAAAACTATTTTTTTAAATATATATATTTTTTAGTATATTTGACATTTTAAATAAATATATATATTTTAAATAAAATATTAAAATAAAATAAAAGTTATCATATTGAAATTTAACTTTATCTTCGAAATCTACTAATTCAAAACATACACAACTTTCAAGAGATACATTTGAGAGTCTAATTCAAAAACTACTAAATTGAAGATTAAATTTGTCTAAGATTTGAAGTAAATATTTAAACCTAATCTTAAAGACAATATAATTCTTTTCATATGTAATCGAGTTGACTCATGAACCTAACGAGTCGAACTATGTATAGTTCAAGTTCAGCTCATTTAGTTAACGAACTTAATTTTTCGCTCATACTCAACTCATTTGGTTCATGAACCTAGTTCAACGATTTAATTGTCGAGTCGAATTCCGAACTATCTTCGAGTTGGTTTGGTTCATTGCCAGCCCTACTACCAAATAACTTATTGTTCTGAGGCTGGGTCTAAATTTTGTTATCTGAACTCACCCTAAATTTATCCGGAGATTAATATCCATATTAATTTTGTTATCGTAACTTAATGATAAAATTATATTATTAAATAGACAAATAGACGTGTTCAGATTCCAATCTTAAACACTGCATATGGTATTTTTGAATTTTATAAGAAGAGAAGAGCAATCCCTGAACTGATTACTACATAAAAAAAACAAAACAATTTACAACAATAAAACAAATTACTTGTAATTTAAGTCACATATCTTAATAAACTAAAGGTTCATCTTCAAAGGTTGGTCATGATATCAACTTATGTTGTCCCTGTCAACTTGATTTTGTTTGAAACGCCCAATAATCCCTTTATAAGCACACGAAGCAGTTGCTACAAATTCAACTTTAGTAGTAGATAGTCAAAAATACTTGCTTCTTGGAGGACCAAAACATTACACCTAATCTAATCTTGAATACACAGTCAAATGTGTTATTTCTATCATCATGGTCACTTGCATAATTAGAACCAAATCATCCAATAAACTCTCACCCCTTTCCTTTCCTTTTTCTTACCCTACAGGTACTTAAGAATTATTTTAGCAGCTACCATGTGCATTTCTATTGACTTTTCCACCCATCTGGAAACTAAGCATACAAGATAGCCCAAATCACACCTAGTTGCAAGTATATTCATCAGGGCATTCCACAATTTGTTTATACTCCTTGACATCAACCTCTTTTCCAGTTTCATATTCACACAATTTGCATCTAGGTACAATTGGATTTCAAACTTTGTTGCAGATCTCCATACCATATCTTCATGCAATTTGGAATGATAACATTAGAAAATGTCACAAGCATCCTGTAGGAGAACATTTGAGTAGACATGATGAGTCCTCTTATAATTGTTCATTAAACTAGGAAGTTAGTACACCTCAGTCACCACTTGAACCAATCCTCCAATGTGCAGCTTCTAACTTGAATCATCAAATTTACTTCCATATTTGAATCATCTTCTAACTTGACAAATTCATGAAATTTACCGTCAAATTCAAATAACAATTCTTTGTTCCCCATCATGCGAGTCAAAAAAACCAAATTCTTCTTGAACATTAAAGTCGCAAGAGCTTATACCTTCTTGAGTCATGAGAAGTGTTTCTTCACCATCATCAAATTCATCACCCTGCAATTGCTATATCCTGAGTCAAGAAACCCGAATTCCTCTTGAACATTAGAGTTGCAAGAGCTTATACCTTCTTGAGCCATGAGAAACGTTTCTTCACCATCATCAAATTCATCATAGTTGACATTTTTCTCCCAATTCAGACATTCATTTTGAAATTGTCTAGCTAGTGACATTTGTAACATCCCACAAATCCAAACAGTCTCTACCATGACCTTGCGAGAAGCAACCCTACTTAAAACAAAGTCACGACCACCATTGGTCGTTTTGAGAGCTTGAACTTCTTCTTTATGACATCACACTCGTTACATACCAACATCTCAGAGATTTTAACAACTGAAAGCCAAGATGTGCTTTTTATTATAAGTTACCAAGATGTGCATTTTTATTCCTTGTTGTCTCTAGTATTAAAATTCATAAGATTTTATTAACGAGTAACCCAAATACATCATGTTAACAAATCAAAAAAAGAAAGTATTTATGGTAACTTTTCCTTTAATTCAAAATTACTTGCTATTTTGAAATCTTTAAAAAAGTACACTTTCCGACCTTCAATAATTTGTGTGATGGCAGCTGAATCCTTTTGCCTCTAAAACGAAAACTCAGTCGTTGAATTAATCAAATGACTGAGAGATCAACGCTATCAATTGTTTGATTAATCCAACGACTGATATTTGATTCGAGCAGGCATAGGGGCTAGAGAGGAAATGTTCGGGACCAAGATGAGGCATAGGTTCATATGAGTCAAAAGTAACACTAGCTTTCAAAATTTCAACACGGAAAAGTTCCGGTCAAATGGATATGATCAAGTGTACTTTTGAGACCATACTTAAGTACTGCCTTGTTACCCAATCTGAATCCATCTCCATAGGCTGATGAGGTATCTGACTCAATCTGGTGTTTGAAAAACTCGCCAAATTTCTTCTCAAAATCAGACCGTTTACCCTTCTTTGATGATGCAGCAGAGGACGGTGGCATTGATGATGATGAAGATGAAGACGAAGATGGTGCATTGTTATTCCCAGATCCAGAATAGAGCTCAGACTCTAGCCACATGTGAGCCAAGACTTGGCAGATTCCCTCTTCAACTTCTGGACTCAGGTTCGGATAACCTGTAAAAAATAATTTTTTTTTCAAGCTAACACCATGAAACAATATTATAATTTTTCTGCATGATTTTCATTTTGGAAGAGGTGAAACACCTTTAAGCCTGAGCCATGCATGCATTATCTCATGAGCTAGGATTGATCCTGTCAATAACCTATAAACATAAAATCATTGAATCATATAAAGTGAAATGAGTGAAAGTCTTATGCAGGTACTAGACTGTGAGAATAGATCGCGAAAAGTTACCTAGGAAGACCATACAAAACAAGTACGGCTGTCACTTCACATCGACGAGTCAGTCTATAAGGCTCAGTTATCATGTCTGTGACTCGGTGTCCTGCCCCAATCTTTGGTCTTCTTAAAATCTGGTGTTACATGAAATGTATAAAACCGTTATATAATATGCAAGTCTTTTATATCAGAATTAAACGTGTGTAAAAACTCAAATTTGGAAAGAAGGAGTCCATACGGTGGTGACAGTCTGCTCTTCTGACAAGCATAGTCCTCTAGTTTCAGGTAAATGGTGATGACCCTATATTCAACAGCGAAAAGCAAAATAAAAACTCTAAGTTAGGATAAAAGAAAGAAAAAAAAGGATGGAACAGAATTAACAATACACATACATTCTTTTCTCCCTCCATGGCTTCATTCAGTGCCTGTCTCTCGACCAAAAGCATAGGAACTTGCTGCTCCAATTTCATATTTAAACCTTCATAAAATTCTAGTATTTCAAGGTAGAGAGGTTGGCATTCATGACTATCCATTATTGCTGAGTCAAGGCACTCGAGACATAGCTTTCGACCATCATCAAGCAAAATATATTGTGAATCCTTTGGCTGCACGGATTAGAAAGTTTCATATTAGATAATAGGAAAAGACAACAGATGAGAAGGGGAAGGGGGCAACATTGGCTCGCTGGTAACTCCTATTAGTAAGAAGATGAAATGTTCTGGGAGCTGATATAACTTACCTCCATTCTTTCGCAGCTACAACAACGAGGAGTGCCGTCAAGCTCATGTGTTGGACAGTATTTTTGTATCCAGAAAGGGTGAGCTCTATACTCAATGAGGCCAGCTGAATTAGCCGGGATCTGTAATGAAAGAATAAAAAATTGTTGTTCGCCATAGAAAACATATTGCATGCAATTTCTTTCGCAGCTCAATATCATTACTAGCCAATGCAAATGTACATTTTAGCGCAATTTCAAAAGCAAGTCCATGATAAGTGAAAACTTTGAAAGAAAATCAGTTAACTCTAATAGACAACTGCAAGTGAAAGACTCCTGCCAAGACACTTACAAAATTCTTGCAAACATCGCATCTTGGATGATGCTTCTCCTTGTAGCAGGATTTATGGTAAGGCCGGTTGCTATTCATGGAAAACTGTAAAGGAACAAAATGATGTTAAGTATTATTCATAATTGTATTGAGATTGACTAAGAAAAGAGATAAATAATTTGAAGACCTTAACCAAATGAATTTCTGAGTAAAGTTTCAACTTGTTTTGATTAAACTCGGTTTCATCTAGCAAGAAAACATAGATAAAGAAACTCTAACCTCATAATCAGTGATTGGCAGATGGCAGGAATGGCAGCAGAAGCATTGTGGATGCCAGACACCTCCCATGCAACTTAAAAATCTCCCGTGGCCAATCTCTGCATTGCATCCAGCACAGATTCTGCAGACAAATTTTTCAGAACTAGGTTTATTGTTATTTTTTATAAGGGAAAAAACCATGAAAATACAAAAATAGAATTCCAAAAATGTCTTCTATATGGATCCACACTGTTGCAACAGAGGCCAATATTTCAATTTTTTAGGCGCATCAAGTGAACTTCAGCGTTTTCCATAAAAAGTATTTGGATTTGTTATTCGGATAAAGATGTGATCATGCCCACAATTACCTGAATCCAGGTGGAAAGAGGTGAGGAGGAGGTTGAGATACAGAATCATTGCCATGTCGAGGAGGAGAACCAACGTTCAAACTTAATTCAATTGCCTTAGCAAGTAGCTCATCTTCCTCAAGTTGATCTTTGGCACGACGTTCATTTTCATCCTGCTGAATTTTAGCTAGCAGTTCATCTTCATCTAGTCGAACTTTACCAACATTTTCATCTTCCTCATCAATTTCACAAAGTTGTTCGTCTTCTTCAGACCGAGAGTCATCATCTGAGATATTACGAGGTAAAAAAACATGAGACATTTCTCTTATACGCCAGCAATCGAATAGTAGATCGAATAATAGCATAAATCTTACCAACAACTTTCTTCCCTTTCAGATCCTCCTCTGATAGAGAAAGTGCAATAGCACGATCAATATTTTCTTTCTCGACATCCGTCAAATCATCCTGCACCTAATTTGTCACAATTACATATTCAAACTATCTCCCTAAATCTCACGAAAACCAGCACCGTACTACCATATCAGATTCAATCCACAATCAAGCAAAGTCAGAATTATAACATTAAACAACAATTTCAATTTCTTACTATTAAAGAAAAACTTAAGTTACCACTGAACCATGTTGATTATCCCAAATTCTATCATCACCATGCTTGCCATTGTATTGCCCTCGCCAAATTCTATGATTAGAACCATTGAGAAACTTGGTAAGCCAACCCATATTACACAAAACTATTCTCCTTTTTCCTGAAAATATATTCTACAATTCATGTTAGGAAAAAAAAAAAAACTCAAACTAATCTAACAAACTCTAGGCTATGCAATGCATTGCATACAATTCAAGATACTATGGCAAAAAAACACAATTATTTAGAAAGATGATAAAAATACCTAAAAAAAAGAAAAGGGGTATCGTGATTCGTGAGGAAAGGGAAGTTTTTTTCTTTGAAATTGCAGTGAAACACACACCTGTTAGCTTGAATTTCTTTACTTCAGGAACACCCAATTGGATTGTTTAGGAAGTAAAAAGCATAGATTTTGCTGAGAAAATGGAATCTAATGGAACCCAATTGAAGAATGGGATTACTATGTTTAGAAAAATGGAATCTTTTTCATAGTGAAGATGAAGTGAAAGTGGGGTGAGTAACCACCAGAAGTTCTTTTGAGACAGAAAAAGAAAGAAGGAAAATAGTTCTTAACAAAAAAGTATAGAAAAAACAGAGAAAAACAAAAGTGAAAGTATAATATTCACTAGAATGTGTTTGTAAGAAATTAAAACTAAAATCCTTTAAATATTATCCTAAGATTTTATTGCCATAGTGTAACTTTGATATCTTTATTTTTATTTATTTTTAATATTAATTCCTTCATTTTAAAATCTTAATCTTTGGTTCCTCAATTTTGTTTTTTTAAGGTTTTAATCTCCTTCTAATTTAAAGTTAAATTTTAATGATATAGCAATGTATATTAATCTTAAGTCATTTTTATTAATTTTAACTATAGTATTTTTTTTTAGAAAATTAGAAAATTAATTTTAATAGCGATGTCAAATAAAGGTTATTGGAGCACTGAAGTTACACCAGCATTAAACTTCCATGTTTAAAATTTGACATGAATTATTATAGTGACCAACTTATGTTATGTACGCAGGTGTGTACTAAAACTTGTATTATTATAATTATAAATTAAATATGAAATCGTACTTGTCGAGAATTAAAATTTGTTTTTCTTTTAATCGAGAGAATATATGATGTATTTTTTAATTAAAAATTAAAATTAAGGTACCTGCTGAAAGTTATTTTACCTTAGTTATTGAGTTCATCGAGAAATATAATATTTGTAGATGTGTAATTATCCTAGTAATGAGTAACATATGTTTTTTCGTCAGAACACTCTTTGATATGTCGGGAATAAAAACAAGAGCGGCATGCCACAGCCTCGTCATTGATCCCGCAGTAAATCCTGTGTCGAACACAAGGTAGGCGAAGATAAAAGAGAGACCATTGATGAAGAAGTTTAGAAGCTTAGGAGAGCCAACTTTATCACTTAGATAAAATACCCATCTTGGTTGACTAACGTGTTTTTGATCAGAAAGTTATCAAACAAATGAAGCATGTGCTTCGACTTCACTAAACTTAACGCCGGGTGCCCCAAAGATCCATATTCCTTACCCAACATAAACCACCTGATTAATAGATCCTCAAGCTATAAAACGTTGAGATTTATGGACGCATATTCTGACTATAATCATATCAAGATTGATCATGTGGATGTGCCCTAGACAATATTCATGTCTAATCACGAAAACTATTACTACAATGTCACGCCCTTTAGGCTAAATAACACATACTCCACCTATCAAAGACTCATGGATGCGGTAATCTTAAAATAGATTGGACACAATCTAGAAGTCAACAGTAATGATATGATAGTAAAGACATCATAAGGGAGGAGCCATACAACATACTTAGAAGATATCCTAAAGTTAGTTAGGAACTATAACATGTGCCTAAATCTCGCTAAGTGCTCCTTTGGCGTACAAGCGAGCTATGTTTTATGTTAACCAAGAAAGATATAGAGGAAAACCCAGATAAGAGTCACCCTATTATCGACATGAGAAACCCTTCCAACCTTAAAGAAGTTTAACAAATAATAGAATATTTAGCTGTCCAATCTTGTTTCCTTTATTGTGTAGATGACAAGGCTTTTCATTTCTTTACCACTCTGAAGAAAGGAGAAGTTCGAGTGGACGAGCGAATGCAAGGATGTGTTCTCAAACTTAAAGGTCTTTCAAGGGTCAACGCTCATCTTGACACGCCCAATAGCAGGTTAGCCCCTATACCTCTATCTGTCAGTTACTGACCAAACTATTAGTTCGATGCTCGTTCAAGAGACATATAAAGATGAAAGACCTAGCTATTTTGTGAGCAAAGTGCTTAAGAGAGTCGATTTCCAATATCAGAAGACTGAAAAACTTGTCATAATGATTGTGTTGACTGCAGGGTAACTTAGAACCTACTTTCAAGGGTATTGAGTAATGTAAAACCAACTATCTCATTCGACAAGTCCCGAAGAAGTCATATTTAGTAGGAAGGATGGTATCTTGGGGGTTGAACTATCTGAGTATGATATCTAGTATATACTCAAAGGAAGCATCAAATTGAAGGTACTGAAAAATTTCACTACAGAATCATGTTTGCCAATAGACCAAAGGCTTACCCCACATGGACACTATTGGTAGATTGCGTCTCTAACTTAAAGGAAAATGGTGTTGTGATAGTATTGGAAGGCCCATACAACATGTTAATCGAGCATTCATTGATACTTGAGTTTAAGGATATCAGCAATAAAGTTGAGTATTAAGGCTTCGTCATTGGGCGCACAAAATTTGAAGGCCAAAAGCGACTCCTAATTGGTGGAAAATCAAGTCTCTAGGGAATATCAGGTGAAAGAGCCACAACTTATCAAATGTATGAAAAAGGTACGTGACTTATTAGAATGTTTCAAAGCTTTTGATATAATATATGTGCCCAGGGAATAAAATTTCAGAGCAGACCTTCTTTCGAAACTACAAAATACAAAAGGAACAGGGCACAACCATACTATAGTTCAAAAAACTCCCACTGCCCGTACTGATGCAAATGAAACCAATGCTTTTGAAGTCTCCTAGATCACCAGCTGGATGACACCCATAATATTTCGTTTTTAGTTCCTCGATATATTTTCTTCAAAGAATTGTCCTCCTAAAATTTTCCATCTAGATTTTTGGTTCCTAATATTAAACATGTCGCTAAAACGATCACTAAGTAATAAATCGTCCCTAAAACTGTCGTTAATTATGTCGCTAAGTTGTAAAGACAATTGCTAAGTTGCAGGAGAAACTAAAAATATGGATGAAAAATTTTAAAAGAACTATTTAAAAAAAAATATTTTAAAGAATTAAAAACAAAATTTGAGATATTTAAAAATATCACAAACATATTAAACCATCTCTATTATTGTTATAGGGTTCATCATATATATATATATATATATATATATATATATATATATATATATATATATATATATATATATATATATATATATATATATATATATATATATATATATATATATATATATATATATATATATATATATATATATATATATATATATATATATATATATATATATATATATATATATATATATATATATATATATATATAATTGTGTGGTTATTTTCTATTTCACATAATCTCGGTCTTACACAAGTGCAGAAAACTCTACAGTATTGGCTTCCAAATTTTAGAGAGCTCAATTTTTTGTTTTATAATTAGTAAAAAAAATTTAAAACACAAAATTTGTATGAAATAATTTATAATTTAAATGATATTTTAAAATTTTTGATGTTTCATTTATTTAATATCCAATTGTATTTTAATTATGTTATTTTTAATTATTACAATTATCTATTTTTTTTTTTAAAATTAGATCCATTTTTAAAATTAAACAGGATCTCTGAATTGATTGGGCCGACCCTGATTTCACACATGATACACTTATATTAGATAAAATAGAAATAATATTATTATTTAAGGATGATGTGGCAAAAGTAACCAGAGAAATTAATATGTGGAATAAAAATGTGTTTTCAAAGATTGACCCTTACGGAGTCTAGATTTTATAAGAGTGGGTCAAAAAGCTTCATTTTAGAGAATTTCTTAACGCACCCTATATATTACTTAGACACCACGTGAAAATACTAAATGCCCATAGATTCCAAAAATGCATCTCCAGATGCACCCAAGTCTGACTTAATGTTAAAATAATTCAGAGATGCATCTTCAAACATATTTCGGAGATGCATCTCCGAAAGGTATTGCAACTTATATCGCGCCAAAACCCCTCCCCTTCCCCATTTCTAAAAAAGCTAAAAAATTTATCAAACTCTCACAATTTTTTTCATCAATCAACTCCCAAATCAAATAACAAAGTTCAGAGGTTCTTCAATCAACATCAAGTGCATCAGAGACATCATCAAAGTGTGAGGTAAACTCTAAATTTGTAAGTTTTTGATGTTTTGAAAAGTTCTTGAGTTTTTGTGTAAATGAGTAGAAACTGATGATTAAGGTAAAAAAAAGAGAGTAGAAATTGCATAAATGATAGTTTAGACATAATGTAAAACATATTTGTTGGTTGAAAATGATGATCAAACCATTATTTTTTATGTTTGCATGTCTGCATTGTCGCCATTCATGCACATGAGGTGTTACACTAACTTTCTAGTTTACTTTTACTTACAAGAATTATGGATGATAGACACAATAAATTCACACACAAGAGGATTGCACAACATGCACTATTGTGGCAAGATAAGAGTAAGGTTTCAGAGGCTCCTATTCACTCTGGGCATGCAAAGACATATACTTCTGGGGCTCATGCTTCTCCTCATGTATCTTCGTCTTCTTCTTCCCGTAGGAGACATGCTTCACCTACTGACGCATCACTCCCTCCATCCTCCTATAGGCTCTAGGTTTCACCTATTCAGGTGATAGAGGCACCAGAGCCACCGGTGGCACCAGAGGCAGGAGTGACACCTCCGACGAATGATGCTTCTGAGCCAGTGCCACCTATTACTGCTAATACTGTTGAGCTAGTGCCACCTCCATATGGTGAGGCTGCTAAGGATGTTAAGCCATAGCCATTTGGAGAAGGCCCTGTAGAGTTTTCACT